AAATCCTTCAGGCTGTGTGAGCGAGGTGACTCTTGCGTGGGAGTGTGCTGGCAGGGGGCTTTTGTACTTCGGGAACCTTTTACCTCAGTAGTTCACGGAGAGGTGGAGAGTCCTGCCAGAAATGTCTATTTCAACCTGTATTAATTTTTTTGATACTGACCATTTTGTCGTGTCAGTGAGTTTTACATTTGTTTTGATATGAAGTCGTTTCCTGAGATCTCAGTGGAAGAGTTATTTGAGGTGATACCACGTCCACAAGTATTTCTAAAACCTAGAAGTTTTGATAGTGATTGCAATTCTTGTGTTAGGGAAAAAAATAAAAGAGGCAGGTTGTATCTGTATGTAAATCTTACCTGATGGGATGTTTTGGAAAAGAAGGTGGGCTGTATTCCCTTCTCACAAAATCTGCATTATAGATTTCAGCTGCATGGAGATTAATCCCTCTGCAGTAATTTATCCTGGATGCTTCTCCTGAGATCTGCCTCTTTGACCTCTTGGCTCTGCCTGAGGTAGGGTCAGCTGTGCAGGAGAGGTGTTCTCCCAGACTTCCTCCTGGTTTTGTAGCTTCACAGTTGGTGTGAATTTAACAGCACTCAAAATGTGGTTGTGAGAATGAATATTCCCTGCATTTCTACTCCCATGGTTATGCAGTGTAACTAAATTAGGGTCCTGATTCTGCAGGTCAGGTGTTCAGCCAGGCTTCAGTGCCACTGAAGTCAGCAGTGGGATGGTTCTCCTTTACAAGATTCAAGTGGGGATGGAGCCTTAAATACATTTTTCAATGAGAATGACATCTGGTGTTCTGAAAAAAACATTCATTCCACTGGCTTTGGAAGTGTTCTGGATGGTCAGATGATGCCGATGTATGTTTGCTTTAGCTCACACTGGTGATGCTTACCAAATTTCATCGTGAGGTGAAACCACAGTGCCTGCATTCTCAGACTGTTTTTAGTTTTCATATATTAAAAAATCTGTTAGATAAAGGGCAGGGGGAAAGAGAAGGAAATTAAATAAGTGCAAATGTACAAAACAAGAAGTCAGTTGCTGTCAGAAAAAAATGCCTATGGCAAGAAGGGTAACAGGTTTAAATATGATTTCATACATCTGGCTATGTCTGGAAACAAAATCTCCTTGGCTTGAAGAACTGCATAAGCGAGTGAACTGTATGTACTCCTTGATGCAGTGATAGAATCAGGCTGTGGTTGCTTTTATATCCCCAGGAAGATGTATGAGAGTGGCTGAAGGTATCCAGGGGGAAATTTCAGTGCCCACTGATACATGAATCTAGCTGGCTAGAAGGGTCTTTGGATAAGGCCAAAGGAGATAGAAATAAAAGCTGCTATAGGGAGCCCTCACCTGCTATATAGAATTTGGAGCTGGTGCTCATGATCTCTCAATTCCATCAGGCAAGGCCAGAATTAAGTCTGATTAATTGTGAGGCTTTGGTACCCTTGTAGAATGCATGATTTACTCTGGCAAAATGTGTATTGGGAGTGCCTTTAGCTAAAATAAAATACCAAGAACAGGGTTGTCTTTCATATTCACCATCACCAGTCTGCTTTAGTCCGTGGATAGTCTTACCTGACACGCTTTTGCCATTTAGGAAGCTTCTCTGATGGTCAAGTGAAGTGCCTGTGCAGGAGCACAGGTGTGCTTGGTCTGAGACTGGTGGGACACTGGCAGGACTAGCTGAAATATCAGAGAGAGGAGGATATCTGGCTCTAACTGATCTAATAAACTAGTAAGCAAAGACATTTTTTGCCTTTAAAATTCCTTCATCGAGGATTTTAAATAAAGAGGGGTTGGCGAAAAATTAACTCACAGCCTGATGTATTTGGGAATACGCTGGGGCAACACAAGAGTTTCCTTGAAAATCCCCTGACCCTTTCTGGAGCAGCCAGACTCCTCTTTGCTCACACGCTTTTTATTTTGGAGTTGAAGGTATTTCTGGTTTGGGCACGTGCACACATGGCCCTGCGTGGATTATGTGAGGGGCTTAACTCTGGCTGCCTGGATTTGCAGGCGGCATGTTGACAGGAAATTAGTTTGTACCAGGACGTGCCTTTTGAGGACTATTTCCAGGCAGTTGTGATGATGACATCAGCACAGGGAGGTCAGTTGGAGGTGGGGGGGGGTGCAAAGACAGCCCCTCGGCTGGGAGTTGGTTTTGGCAGTGCCTCCGTGGGACTGGGGGGTTAATCATCGTTTGTTTCTCTGGCTGCCGCTTGCGTCAAAAGGCCGGGCAGCCTTAATGAACGTTGCCTGTGTTAATTTGAAACCCTTGCTGGGAAATCATGGGAAAATGGAAAAGCACATAGTTGCGTGTCACCCCTCAGATTAACAGCTTGGGCAGCGCTGGAGCTCTCAGTGTGGCTCTGGTGCAGCTCCGAACAGCTGGGAAAGAGATCGCTCCCTGTGCCTGCCTGGGGTTTTTATGGGGTATCCTGTTAAGCCAAAAGCTAATTTACTGTAGACTCTGTGCTAAAAATGGTGCATTGTGTGACAGCTTCGTGAACTATGTAAATGAAAGCACTGAAAGTAGAAATCTGTGGGGTCATAGGAACACAGACACCTCTTCATTTGATACTGGTTTTATTATTGATGTTTTTTGTGTGTGTGGATTTCAAATTATTTACTCCACTTTGAAGAGATAATAATAAAACCCCCAATAATGTACTGGTAGCCCCCTTCATCGTTTGAGCTGTATTGTACCATCACTGGTTGCCTAACTACAATTTTCTGATGATGCCTGAATTCATGTAAGTCTTTGCAATGTGCATTGCCCTCTAACAGTGGGGGTTTTCTTTAAAATAAACACTTCTTTAATGTGTTGTGGGGTTTTGGGTTTGGGTTTTTTTTTTTTCAACCTGAAGCTTGTAAGAGGAATGTTTATAATTGGGGAAGATGTAATATCTGTTCTAGCCACCTCTCTTTTAAATGAAGTTTTGTTGATTTTTTTTGTTTTTTTTGTTTTTAGGGAATACAGAACAGTTTAGCATCTCCTCTGAAGACTTCCACCTTCAGATCATCTTATATAACGTTAGCATTTTGGTCCCAGTCTTATAATTATTTTTTTCCTTTGCTTAGCATTTTCTTGCACTCAGTCAATTGGGTATAAAGTTGAGTAAATGGGAAACTTATGCAAGATGGGAGGCCCGAATCCCTACTGAGACTAACTAATGTTACAAAGTTGATTTTAATTTCCTTTAAGCTCTGTGTCCTTCGAAAAGGATTTGCTATCCATGTCCAACACCTGAAGTGTTTTATCACATGCAGCCCTCTATAAGTCATTGGGACTGTGACCCTTGGGTATGTTAGAAATGCTTTAATATCACTTGGGAATTTCTGATGAGGCTGCAGAAAACCCAAAAGCTGATGACCATGTAACCCAAGTCCCTTTTCTAATATTTCTTAGCAACCTAAATATTCTGTTAGCCAGCATCTATTACAGCTCCTCAAAGATGTTTTCCAGACTGGGCGTGATAAGTTAACTGTTTTGCACTGGAAAATTACAGAACCAGTTGTAGGATGGGAAAGTTGGGGAATTTTTTTCATAGGAGAGCTGTACAGCAGTGCTGGAGCCTTTAGTGTTCCTTTGGCTCTGGGATGTTTGGGAAGCACTGTGACCACAGACAGGCTGGTGATGGGTGGGTGGCAGTGCTGCAGCAATATCCATGTGTTTAATAACTATATAACTATATTTTTGTGCTCCCTCTCTGCTGGAAATAATTGGAACACTTATATTTTAATATGTTTAATATATTTATTTTTGGAAACTAGCATTCACCGGGATAATGGTACTGTACTTGTGTGTGTGTGTGTAGGTGCCTGTATATCTGTATAAACATTAAAGAGAACTTTTGGGGAAGGATTTGCAAAAAAATTTGACATTTTAAAATTTGACAATTAAGTAATTAAAGTGCAATAAATTAATTATTTAATTAATTTATTTTATTTAGTTTATCTTAATCCTCTATAGATTTGACTTCAAGTACCAGACTTCTTTTTGCTTCTTAGTATGATGTTTAGAGGGATCTGAAAGAATGGGAGACATGAATTCTTTTAGAGTTGTATTGAAAAGAGCCTATTTAAGGGTAGAGAAATGAAACCTGGGAGAGCTGGGAACAGCCCTGGAAGAGCTGTTTCCCGTTGGTGAAAGATGATGTGGGTGTGTGCATGCCCATCCACAGGGGAGGGTTGTGCCAGAAACAGCGAGGTTTTGGTGTGTGCCAGGAACAGGGCTCCTGGCAAAGGAGGATAAACCCCACATTTTTGGTGCTATCTGGCAATCTCCAGCTGCTTGTCCCAGCCTGCTTCAGCTTCCCTGCCCTTGCTCAGCAGAGGGAATACTTTATGCCTTGTCTGCTTTGGTTTTTCATATATTGGTGATTTCAAAACTGGAGTTTTCAGGTTTTCAGTCTTGGTTTTTTTTCCTAGTATCTGGAAAATCAGCTGAGTTAAAGGACTGACAATGCTATTATGAGGCAGTTGGTCAACACTCAATTTCTTCTCATTTGTTGGAGAGAACATAACGATGTAGAGCTACTCTGCAAAACACATAAGGGCCTAATTTTTTATACTGCATAGGGTGGTGTAAGCACTCACTTGGATGATGCTAAAAAGGAAAGCTTGTCTGACTAGTGAAGAAGCTGCATGAATTCAGTTATGTAAAAAATGTTTATTCCAGAGATCCACACTGTGTTAAGTTCTTTACAACCTTCATATCAAGCTAGTAAAAAACCCAAAAAGCTGACTCAGTTGCGTTATTGAAGACCAAGAAATAATTTGAAGGACTAAGTCTCTGATTTGCTGCTCACTTGATAAGACAGTTTCAGAGACTGAGGGTGAAAATAAAAATCAGAAAGAATTAAGATAAAAAGATGCATCTCTGTAAATTAAAAAGCAGAGCATATCCTTTCCTTTCTCCAGTTTTCTAGGAAGAGAAAGCTAATGCTGTGACTTTTTTTTTTTCTTTTTTTTTTTCTTTTTTAATAAATCAGCTCCTCAGGTGCTGGAAATGTAGCAGACCGTGTCTTGGCTCAGTTGCTGACAGAAATGGATGGGATAGAACAGCTGAAGGACGTGACAATTTTGGCAGCTACAAACAGACCGGACATGATCGACAAGGTACGAATGGATGCACTGTCCTGTTCTCTTGAAAAGGCCGGATTTTGGGTATAATTCCATTCTCTTTTATTCTCCAAACTCTTGCCTGATCAATTTAATGATTAAGAGTAGAAGTTCGAAAATGAAGACAAGGCAAAGGAATAGTTGATGTCCCTCACTTTTTGCTTCCTCCCTACAGAATTTTTACCAGAAACAAAATGTTTTGCCATAGCCTTAAGTGTCTGTTTCCTAGATGAAATTTCCCTCCAGTTGAGCTCATTGAGCTTGTGCAGCAACATTTCTGTCAAACTGCTGCTGTGGTTTTTGCTTCTGTTGTGTTTGTTTATGCAGGAGTTTGCTGGAGTTTGTTGGTTTCATTAGTTACTTCCTTTCAAGAGATTATATATCTCCTCAGTGCCCTTATCCTGCTGCCAGCACTACGGTTTCCAACTGTAAACAGTACAATTTCTGCTCAGATCCTGCTGCAGCTCTGCTGGCGTGACAAGAACATGTCAAATTTGTAAAAGCTGGAGGGTTTTAACACTTACTGCGGAAAAACCTCCAAACACAAAACCAACCCAGCAGCCCTCTAGAAAATCCACTCTAAAAACCCTCCACCACTGCTGTATCTTCTCACAGCTAAGTGCAGTAGACGGGTCAGTCTGAAGTGATTTCCTTTAAGATACATTTTGTAGTGTTGGTAAGGTTCTTTATTCCACAGCTTTTCACCTTCACAACATTAATGAATGTGATGACAAGTTAATGAATTTCATTTTCCTGATCTTTTTTAGGGTTTCTTATAAGTTTCTTAAATAATTCTCAGATTTTAAGCTGCTCCTGGAATCGTTTTTTCTGTTTGTCTTGGAACATTCTGGCATAAAATACACAGAGTATGGTTCATATACCCAGGGAGTCTTGAGAAAAAACCTTATATTTTGGCTCCAGAACACAGACCCTTCCCTACTGAACTGAGGGAAGCCACACAGCTGATGGAGACCTGACAAAGGCTTATTTGGAACTTATTTGTACACTGTCTATGAGCCTGCCCTGGCAAAGCAGAGCTAGCAAAGAGTTTTTGGTGAAAGATGATAAAACTGGTCAGTGAAAAATATACTTGTGCAAAATTGAAATTTCCAAGATTTCACTTTTGTCAAATTGATTTCAGTTTTCTTTGGTGGCTGTTCTTTGGGGTCAGACTAAGCTGAATTTGAAAAAAGTCTGTTTGTTGATCAGAAGGGAAATTTCCTTCTGAGTCGGTTCAGTCTTGTCTCCATCTCTAGCTGGGAATTCAGTTCCCTGCTGTTCTCCCTTTTGCCAGATTTCCCGTGGGCACACAGTGAATGCTGCTTTCTTGTATTGTAGTTTTTAATTGAAATATTGGTAATATTGGGACAGTACAACCATTGGCACCCTGCAGTACTAAGAACTTGAGAGAACCTCAGTTACTATATGCTGTAACTGCATCAGTGATGCAAATCCAGACCTCTTAGCCTGGGATATGATGCATAAAAACTTAAAGTCTTCTGTACCTATGAATTTTGGGGGGAGTGGTGTGGTGAACTTTCAATAACGAACAATACATCTTATGTATTCTTTCCCCAAGTAAAGCTGACAGTCTTGACTCTAAATATGAAGAAAAGGAGAAAGTTGTATGAGGTGGTACTCCCCACAGTAGCAAGCTGTGTGATTACAGGAGTTTTATTAGCAATTTTAATAGCCACAAATGGCTCTTTTATATTTTTATTGAGAACTCTTTTTATAATGGGAAACAAAACAAAACCAACCAAAAAAAAAAATTCTAGAAAGTATTCAGTTAACAGAGTAGCAGAGCAAAAGCTCATCGATCTGCAGGAAGGGGAATTTTAAACTGTGACTTAAAGGCATCACATTTGAGTTGGTTTTGCACACTTCATACTTCATCCAGACCAGACAGGCTGTACCAGGCCACCACCTTCTCCTGGGTCCCTGCAAGATTTGCAGTGCATGAGTTGTACTTTTTCCCTTCCCTAGAGGAAAGAAGACTGACAGCAGAGAGCATTTGTATTGTGGGCTTCACCTAATGGGCGATTTTTCAGTGTGGGCTTTCAGTTTACTCTGTGATTGCTGATCCCTTTGGAAAGGTAACATTTTGTTAAACTCATGTTTTATATGGAAATAATCAGTTATGTGTGGCGATTAACTGAGTGTCCTGCTTTCATAGTTATATATGATGACTATAATTTTTAATGCACAAACTTTACATATGTTATAAAGGTACAAGGCAGTCTGTCTTCTCTACTTCCAAGGACTAGGAAAATGTCTGGCATACTTTTTGTGACTGTTCTTTAGCTTTTCAAACCAAGAAATGCTCGAGGAATGTACGCTTTCTAAGTTTTATGTGCTTACAAAATTGGTAACAAGCCATCCGGCATCTTCATTTACGTGGCTGCTGCTTAACTGACAGTCCTGTGATGATTAATCTTTTGTGATTTGGAAACAGCACTTGGGAATATCAAATGTAAGAGTATTCCCCAGAGCCTAGTGCAGACTTCATCATCCCTGCAAACACTGCAATGTGTTGCTTTCGGTTAGTGAATAGATTTGAGTCAGACTTTATAAAAGGTTATGTGTAATGATAAACTTGTTTTGACTTGTCACAGGCATCTATTAATAAGGTAATTTCTCTAAGATGTCATGATTGTATTGAAATATTATTGCAGCCTTTTGTCCTGTGTTTGTAGCTCTCAGCTACTTTGCATCTCCATTCATGTGATGGTGGAAAGACTTTGGAATCGCTTCTATTTTTTTAAGAATGCAAAAGCAGCACGTACTGTTTTCAGCCATGTATGGTACAGAAAGTGATTTCTCTTGGAAGGGAAATATTCTGGAACAAGATGTTCTGAACATTCTTTGAAAGTGATACAGAAACAAAACACTCTGAGTCAGTCAGAATAGTAAAATCTTTCCTTTTATTCTTCATTCTATAAGCAGAATTGATGAGCAATAACTGGAAAAATTACTTTTGGTTTTTGGTGACTTACCCACTCAGGAGTGATTTTTTTGTGCCGAAAATGTGTTACAATAACTTTATGGAGCTGCTTATGATTCAGAGTTTGTCTTTTGCTATGTATCAACCTAACCAGAGATCATTCATCCCCACATAAAAGTAAAACACTGTGAATAAATTGCTCAGCTTGAAATTAAACGTTCTATCCGGACATACATGTGAACAGATTTTCAGGTGTGGTCTGACAGATTTACATGGAAGAAAACCCAGACCAACTCATCAGAATTAGCATGTCCTGTTTTTAGTTCTTCAGTGGAACCCGTTTTCCTGGCCCTTTAGCACTGGGCTGACTTTATGTGAGAAGGGTGAATTGCTATCATTACCCACTCATGCAGATATTTTTATTTCCCCTCTTAAAGCAGCGTTTCAATCTCCATTAGCAAGGGAACAGTGAAGGAAGGGAGACTGTCAGATCCCCAGGGACCTTGGTGAATGTTTTAGCACAGGAAGCAAGATGCAAGTTAACTCCTGCATCAGATAGTTTTACCTCCTGCTGGGTCAAATTTGAATGTCAAACACATTAGCTGTGATGTAAAACACGAGGCGCTGAGCGAAGTGAGGGCCTGTGGTATGGGATGACATCCTGGTGCTCCTGACAGCTTCAGTTCTCCTTATCGAGGGGTGCAGAAAAGCCTATCCTCAAATATGCTATTTGCATAAGAATGACAGGATGTGATAGGACAAATGAAGATGAATGGGATGCTGTGCTGTCAGCGTCACCCATTGTCTGGAGATTGATGATGGTCTGGATTTTGTCTGCATTCATGGGCTCCAGTGTAGTTTACACCAGAAACTATCCTGGTACCTTGAATACTGAAGAATTGAATCTTTTGAGTGCTTTGTTAGCATGGAAGGGCTTGGCTCCCCATTTCCAAGCATCTATAAAACCATGTATTTTGCATATTGTGCCAGTGCAGAGGATTTTTTTTTTCTGTCTCCTTTTATGTGTTTATTTTGCTTTTTAAAAACTTCCTCTTAAAAGTCTTCCTCTTCACCTCCTCTTCTATCACCTGCAAGTTTTGCTGCTCTGTTGACTTCATTCTATTAACAGTTGGGTTTGAATCCAGCTTATTTAGTTTAAGAGCCATGTGGATAACACTGAGTTTTCTGTTCTGGTTACGTGAACAAAATAAAACAGAACTGCAGCTGATATTCCTCCTAGCAACTGCCAAGCATGAGGAAAGGGAATAAAACTCCCTTCCCCCATGGTTCAGTTGGATTTGGAGGAGTCTTTTGGGCAGAGAAGTCAAGCAGAGGTTTATCAAATTGATCTGCCCCTCAAAATGTTGATTACTCTGTAATTATGGGACAGCCTTAATTTGAAGTGGCTTGTTTGGATGAAAATAAGAAATGCACGATAGAACCATTTGGCAGAATCAGTAAAGAAATTATAATTTCTTGCCTGCAGCAAAAGTAAATAATCTTTCCTTTTTAAAAACATCAAAGTTCAGTCTTTCTGAAGGCTTATGGAAGAAATTCAAATATTTAAGTTTGTAGTTTTGCAAGTTAAAAGGAATAGGAAAGAATCCTGCACATTTATTCATTATTGTCTGGAAATGTATATGTGCTGTTTTTATAGCAGGTAAGGCTACCAGCATGTTAGCAGTCAGATGCAGGGGCACAAACCTCACTAACACACAATACAGATTTTCCTACTTAGGTATTTGCCTATTTGGGATTTGCATTTTGGTCAGGTACATCTTAGAAATGGTTCTTCCTATGCCACAGCTTTCACTTGGTAGGATTTCCATTTTCCCAAATGCGGTGTGGTACTGGGAAGTTGGAAGCCACGTAATCCATCAGTCATGTGTCTTGCAGAGTCCCAGGCAGGAAAAGGGAATAAGTCTCTGGCTGTCCTTTCTCAGCATTGCATCTCTGCAGATTTCATCCAGATTTGGAGGACAGGGGACCCAAAACTGGGTGCTTTTAAGGACGAAATGGTGCAGGGACACTTCACTGCCTTGCAAGAATAGAA